ACCGTCCCCTGCGGTGCCGCACCCTCCGCGCCGGGCTGAGGAGCCGTCCAGAGCCGCGCCCGCCCCGACTCGAGGCTCAGAGTTTGGGAGGAGACGCCGCGAGTCCCCCGACGGGATCCGGGGGCCTGTCCCTCCCCTTCTGTTGAAGTCAGTGGGTACTCACTCCCTTTGGGAGTTGAGATGTTTGGCAGGCCCAGCGAGCTGAATGAGACTGGGAGCCGTGGCTGTTGCGTTTACCTTTTGGAGTCACTAGATGCACTTGTCTCCAGCACCTGGATAGCTTTGAGTCTTAATACTTAAGAGAAAAAGCTGTTTCTTCCCTCCTTTCATGTTGGGTGACGTCGATAATGTCTTCTTTCTCAACAGGGGAACTGCCCTCTAGGGAGACGTTCCCTGCCTGGTAAGTTCTGCCCTTGCCGTCACCTAAAATGCTCTCCTCCTGGGCAGAGGAGTATGTGAGGAAATCGGGGTGCCTGTTGTTTCTCCACATAATGTTCAGGTAGATAGGAGTGAAACAAATGCTATTTAGTAGCAACATCTATCATTTATTCATTTAGTACATAGATACTACGTTTCTACTGCATGTCAGGTAGGAGCTAGGCCCTCACTAGGGATACAGCAGTGGAAAATTCTTGCCCTCCTGGAGCTTACAGTCTAGTGGGAAAGACAAAGTGTAAATTGCTAAGCAAATGAACCATCACAAATTTTAGTTAAAAGCTGAGAAGAAAGCAAATGAAGGTGGACAGAAGAGTCCCAAATAGGTGGCATTAAAGCTGTTACCAAAGGCTGTTACAGAAGCCGGCCCAGTGAAGAGCAGGAGAAGGGAAGGGAATAATAGCATGTACAAAGTCTCTGAGGAAGGAAAGAGCTTAGCAGTGCTTGGGAACTGAAAAAAAAAGTGAGTTGGCCAGAGTATTTTGATTAAGGGAGAGAGTGGCATGAGAAAGAAGATGGTATAGAGACTACCGGAAGGGATTTAGATTTTATCTCGATAATTTTTTATATGCCTGGAATAAATACTTGTTGAATGAGTTGATGTTATTGTGGGCTTTCTGTGTGCCATGCAGTGTTCTGAGTGCTTTCTGTGCATTTTTCAATTAATCATTAAGAAAGAGTATAAGAAATATTCTATTTTACAAATGCAGAACCCAAGGCTAACAGAGGTTAAGTGCTTTGACCAAAGTCACTCAGCCAACTGTTGGTCAAGCCAGATCTACCTGACTCCTCAGCCTGCCTCATGTACTCAACAGATCATTTATAGAGTTCTTGCTACTGTGCTAGGTGACAAATACTGATGATCTCTACCCTCAAGGATCTTCTGTGCTAGCTGGAGAAACTCCAAATACACATTTATGCACACATAGGGATGTACTTTTTGATTACTTTGAAAGAGAAGTGCAGGGTGCAATGAGAGGGTGGGATAATGTAGCCCAGCTTGCAGTGGGAATGTTAGTTAAGGCTTCCTCAATGAAGTAACATTTAAGCCAAGCCTTGAAGAGTACATAGGAGTTATCCAAGAGAACAATATTCCAGGCAAAATGAATTGCTTGTGCAAAGGTTTTCAGGCAGGAAGGGACTTGACTGGTCATAGAAATGGAAAGGAAGCATGTCTTGCTGGAAAGAGCCTTGTATTTGGGCTTTGCATTGTGGCCCAGGGCTTCACCTTGGGCTAGCAACTTAACCTCTGGAAGCACTACTTATATATAAAATGGGAATTATGGCAGATGGTCATTCCACTTCAGGGAGTGGTGAGATACGAAAATCAAAATGAGGTCGTTATGTGAAAGCTTTTTATAAACCCTACAAATGAAACTTGCTATAGGATGAACTCTGAATTGGACTCAGGATTCTAAAAATCAGCATGGGCTGCTAGCTGTCCTGGCTCAAAGACATGCTATTATACTTGAGATCTGTGCTGCAGAGTCATTGGCTGCTGGACATGGGTGACTTACTTGACTCTGAAACCCTGGGAATGTTTGTGGGGAGGTGGGCGAAAAAGAGAGCTATCTCCCATTTGGTGTCTCCTGAACCCATGGTTCAGAAAGGGTTGCTAATAGATCCAAAAAGTGAACACATTCAGGTGAGGCAGCTGTAGTAATTAGGTATCAGTTGGGAAAGTGCAATGATCTGTAATAAGGATGGTGGGGCAGAAAGGAGCTCCTACCTGTCGAGTGTTACCAGAAAAGAAGACCTCAGGAAGAGACAAACTGAAAGGAGGGATAATTATTTGCTCAGTACTAGGACAAGCTGGAGACCTGGGTCCTTAGATAGCCTGGTCTTTGGCTACTAGGGTTTGTTTAGGCAATAAGACTTCCAGCTCAGTCCATTTTAAGTAACCAGGGAAACAAACCCAGACCAAACGTCCCCACTGCTTCTCTGATTAGGCTGTGTGTACTTACAGGATAAGCCATGTGTGTCTTTCTCAAGCTTCAATTGTGTCTGAAGACTTGAGGAGTAGAGACATTTTATTAGGAAAACATACAGGGATGATGAAAATTTATGAATTTTAAGGCAAATAAGATAAAACTACTTCAGGCTATGCCCTTAGAATTCTCCCGTTTCCTCCTCAACCACATAACCACTCAACCCCTCATACCCGTTGTTCTCTGCCATTATGGTTACTTTGGTGGAAAAGTCTGAGAAGCAGGACTCTATGATAAAGACTGTATTGTTGCCTGTAGTTAATCCTACTCTTTCTCAGAGTTAGGGGGTGAATGGACTTCTTTTCCATTCCCAGCAGGTATCTTGTATAAGGTAAGAGTTGTTGGTTAAGAGTTGTTTTGTTTCTTGCAGGGGTCTCCTTATGTCAGGGACCAGGTTACCCTGACAGCAGGAAGATTGTGTAAGTATCACTGGGGAGTACAGTTATGTGGCCATGGGGCACTTAAGATATCACTTCTAAATTTGACCATTTGCTTTCTTCCCTGGTTTCCAGAGCTAGAATTCTAGGGGTTATGTTGAGTCCCTAGACCTAACCTTGATGTTAATTTATGACGTGTGGTGTACCTTGAGCTTCAGCCCTGTGTCAAGTGCTGGACCAGAAGTGTGCCTGTCCTAAGGTGTTTAAATTGTAATGAAAGTGGAGTTGGAACCCTCTTTTTATGGTTAATAGATATAGAAGGGTGCTCCTAAATAGTATTCTGGTCGGATACAAGTACAGCTGAAGGGCTGGAGGTTACATTTATTGTGGAGATTGAGAGCATCCTCTTGATGTAGCATAGTTATTTATTTTACAAACAGTAAAAGCAAAAGACTAGTCTTTTGAGTCCTGGGACTTTGACTAGTTTGGAGGGAATGCTATTATTGCATAATGTGAAGTTTGGAGAAAGGCCACCCATGTGTGTTTCAGATTAACTTCTGCTTATGAATGTTGCTTAATGTTACTTTGCCTTCTGAGTATTTTCAGAGTTTACTAGGTAACTAGAGGCTGCTGTCTAGTTACCTAGTAAACAGCTATCAAACTACTCTCTCTGCAGGGAAAATCTTCAAAATGAGGGGTCAGCAGATTGGCTCCTTCACTGTGCATCACAATGGGATTTTTGTGTGTTGGTTTTCTTTTAAATAAAATTATGTACTTAGTACTAGAAGTATGAATTCCTTTGTTATTTTTGGAGGACAATTTGGCATTCATTAAGTCTTTGAACTGTGTGTACCTTTTGATCTAGCAATTCCATTTCTAGGAATCTATACTGAAGAGGTCCTGGTATACCAAGATTTCTCTCAAATGGCCGGACAATGGGGATTGGTTAAGTTATGCCATGTTAGCATGTTCACACTATGATAAGTGAAAAAAAGCAGGTTATAAAATGATTCCATTTTTTGCTATCTGCTATAATCTCATTGTAAATGGTCTTCTTGTTATTTCTAAATATTCTACAGTGAATGTCTAGTACTTTTATAATTGAAAAAATTATTTAGAGAGATTCAAAATGTGCTCCTCATCAGCAATTTCAATGAAAATTGGAGCAACCACAAATTTCCATGCAATAAATACAACAAATAACTATTTGAAAGTAAATTATTTTTTTAAATCCTAAACTTTGAGGGGTGAGTTTACACATTAGAATAGGCTATCATCCTAATCTAATAACTTTTTTGTGTTGTGTATTTTTTCTTTGAATAAGGTACCCACTTTATTTTAAAAATTGTTTATTGTAAAACTATTTTGGCTTTATGTTTTTATTTAATAGGTTATACATTTACATGGTTCAAAAGTAAAAAGTGTCTATGAGAAGACTTGACCCTTGTCTTCCAGCGCCACCAAGTTCCTCTTCCCAGAGCATCCAGAGCCCCAGGTTCTTGGATGCCCTCGCAGAGTGGTCTCTGCATTTGCACATTGTGCATTGGTTCTTGCCCATGTCATGCACTTATACATGGTTATAAGCTTTACACAGAATACATTCACACTTTCCCCCTTGATTCTACATAAATTTTATTTTTATTTTGACATTATAAAGGTAAAAATACCAAAAGGCAACTTAAATCTGTTTTACTTTCCTATTATAAAGGTGCTTGGTGTAGAATATTTAAATGGTCCTGAAATATAGAAAGTGAAAGTCCCCATCAATCCAAATCACTCTCACCAAATGTGTATGTATGTTACAGATAACCATAAATACCATATATGTCTAGTCTCCCATTCTCTGGAGGTAACCACTGTTAATGCTTTCCTGGATACAAAGTGACAGCATTCTCTGGTTTACATTATTTAAAGTTAGTACCATGTCAAAAAATACCTTGGTTTTTTGAGATTCCTCTTTAATTAGTCCAAAATGGACTAGGAGATACCTTTTAAGTTTTTTGGTTTGTTTGTTTTATGTGTGTGTGTGTGTCTGTGCATAATAATACCTTATTTTACTATCTCATCTAGCTGCTTTATCTAATCTAAATCTGCAATCCTAGGGACAGAAATCCATTGTATTTGGCACAATGGCATGTGTCCCAAAAGCATGCAATTTATTTTACTTGGATTTAGTTAAGAAAAAAACACACCTGATCAAAAAGATAAGTCCTTTTGGTGAGTGTGCAAAGGACTAAGAAGCTTATGTTTTTCTTCAAAGAACCAAATGTAAGTCTGTTTTGTGAGACCTGGCATTTCACTGCAGAATAGAGTCCTGGACTCACACAGTGAGCTTCCTACTTAGGGCACTCAAGTCATCGAGACTCTGCTCTAGACCTGCCAAGTCAGCATCTCTGGGGGTGGGGCCTGGTCAAGTTCCCTCAGGTGACACTGAGGGCACCCTTGGTCAAGAATCACCGATTTAAAGGGAAGGTGATCCATGGTGCCTAAATTGTGAGTAGTTCACTTGCTAAAAGCAGTTTACTTTTATGTTTCTTTTCTAGCATTAACAATAGTAGTGTCTTCAGTGTGCGCTTCTTCAGAACTACAGCTGTGTGCAGTAAGTACCTGCCTTCAGCTCCCTGTCTTCTTGGGAAAGGAGTTTTAATGGGATGAGAACAATTGTCTGAGTTTAATTGAAGAAAAAAATTGAAAAGGAAAAAAACATTGATTATGTGTGATTTTCCTTGTGCTCTCTTCCTAGAGGATGATGTGATTACAGTAAAAACCCCAGCGTTTGCAGAATCTGTCACAGAAGGAGATGTCAGGTGGGAGAAAGGTAAGGTTAATGCCCTCTCACTGAAGTTTAAATACTTCCTAAAAGTCCTCTCCTCAACCCCCCCCCCCACACACACACACACTGATAATCAGTGGAATCTGGGGCTCCACTCTTTTTCTTTTCTTTTTAAAAAAATATTTCTTTATTGATTTCAGAGAGAGGAAGGGACAGAGATAGAAACATCAATGATGAGAGAGTCATTGATCGGCTGCCTCCTGCAAACCCCCCACTAGGGATCGGGCCCTCAACTTGGGTGTGTTCCCTGACTGGGAGTCGAACTGTGCGCCATCTCTTGGATCCTAGGTTGATGCTCAGCCTCTGAGCCATGCCCTGCCGGGCTCCACTCTTTTCTTTTACATGTGATGTACTTTCTCCTGGCCCTGTAGTAAAGGAGTCTTATACCTGCTAAAGGGGATTTTTTGGCTAGTGGAGGCCCTCCTGACAGGTAGCCTTTGACTGTCTTTTCAGCTGTTGGAGACACAGTTGCAGAAGATGAAGTGGTTTGTGAGATTGAAACTGACAAGGTAGGCTTGTCCTATATTAGTGCCAATTTTTTTTATGGTCTCTCCTTGGTTTCTTAACCTAATGAAAGAAATAGCGCCTTAACTGTTATTCCAAGATAATTTTTAACTGGCTCTAAACATAGTTATAAAAATGTTGGAATAGCTCATTAAGAAGAAAAACTTTAAAGTTTAATTTTAGATTTTTCTAGGTCAGCGATTTTCAACCTTTTCCATCTCATAGCATACACAAACTACTAAAATTCTGCAGCACACCGAAAAATGTATTATATTTTTGCCGATCTGACAAAAAAATAGGTGTAATTTTGATTTGTTCACACTGGACGGCTATTGTTGTGTTGGCTGTTGTCATTTTTTTATTTGACAATCTAAGGGAAAAGAGGTCAGTGCCCCTGACTAAATAGTCAGGTATTGCATGTTTTAGGAACTCTTGGGGCACACGGGTTGAAAATCGCTGTTCTAGGTGTATGTATTATGTACTTTAGTAATAGTTTTGTAGCTGTGTGCGTGTGTGCACAATTTGTTGCCAGTTGTTTTTCAAGTATCACCTGGAAACTCATGGACTGAATGTTACTTTAGTATTTCTGAGAAAGGACAGAAAGGGTGAATCCTCACAATAGCACTGGCTTGTCATACTCTTATCCTAAAAGTGTGGCCTTGGTGTTTCTGTATGCACAGTCTGGTATATCTGTGTTGCAACTCTTGTGAGTCATATTTTAGATTCTAATGCTAAGTAAAAATTTGGACTCTCTCCATCTGTCCTTCTTTTCCAGACATCCGTGCAGGTTCCATCACCAGCCAATGGCGTTATTGAAGCTCTCTTGGTACCTGATGGGGGGAAAGTAGAAGGAGGCACTCCTCTTTTCACACTCAGGAAAACTGGCGGTGAGGAGGTCCTCCTAGTTGTCAAGGTCTTCAGTGTCACCCTGGGAATTGGGGCTGAGCATAACATACGAATTCCTTGATACCTCAAAGAATTTGGCATTCCAGCTGCCCTTAGTTGAAGGAATAAGAGGGATGATATTTATATAATATGAGCTTTAAATGTCAAGTTTTAGAAGGAAAGGTTATTAAAATAAACTTCATAATACTCTGTTCTTTCCATGTATGTTTCTTATGCTGGACGTTTTCGTAAAGATATGATAGAAATCAAGAGGATTCTAAAGACGGATTTTTTTTCCCCCCTCCCTGGCATCAAAATCACATGGCATCAAAATCACATGGAGGCTTTAAAAATAATACAAATGCCTAGACTCCATGGTGCTGGGATTCTGATATATTAAATCTGGGGTTACAAGATCTTGGTTGTCTGTCATAGTTTTGTGTGTGTGTGTGTATGTGTATGTGTGTGTGTGAATGCTCTCCAAGTGTCTGATACACAGCTAGGGCTGAGAGATACTGTACTAAAGTGAGAAGTGAGAAAAAGCAATGTTTCATGGTATCTGTTATGGAGAATCCAGTGTAGTGTTCTTACATCTGTTTTCATAACATTTATAGGGAGGGTTGGTATTTCTCTTGAGAAGAAATAAGAAGTAAGGAAATGAATTTGTACTGGACCTTACAGTCAGTATTAGAGAATAAAAAAGAACTTTCTATGATCCTCAGTTAAATGCTATAACTACTAAAGTTTATTTCTTTCTCATTAAAATATTTAGCAGAGAGGTGGTAGATTACTTCACTGAGATTGGTCAAGGCAATATAGAAGCCCAGCATGGAAAGAATGTGCAGTGAGAGGCTAGGGAAGATTGATTCTTCAGTTGAAGAAGTCCATCTTCTGATAATTTATTCCTTAAAAAAAGTTCTAATTTAAATATAAAGCCAATTGTAATGTCCAGATGGGTAAAACAAAAATAAACATCTAATTTAACCTTGTTAGTTTATTACTTGACCACATTATTGACTTCTGAGAGTCCAAATCAAATGCTTTGAACTCAAGTCTAAATGAACCCTTGATTATTTAAACTTGTTTTTTAAAAGTTAAGAATATTCTTCCACATGTGATTTTAAAGTACAAGATGAGGTTGTCGGTATTACCATAACTAGAAATATGTTATTTTTATTTATGTGTTTTGAACATCTTAAATTGTCTGGGTTTCCTTTGCTTAGAAGTTTGTTTCCATGGGCTTTAGTGGCTGCTTTGAAAGTACTTGCTGAATTTGATGATCAGTAGATATTTGTGAAATTAGGGAGGCAGCTGAATTCAGTTAATCTGATGTAGGACATCTAGGGGCCCTGGAGAATAGAAGAATGATACCTTATATCACTGTGCGTATCTCATAATACCTTGCATATATAGCAAAAACCCAGTAAGCATTTGTTAATTGATTGGAGTTAGAGCTTTTGCTACTAAATTCTACTTAGTATCAGTGATTTGGTTGATTTCCATTCCAGACAGCATCAATGGCATCTATTTTTCTTGTTTTCCAGCTGCTCCTGCTAAGGCCAAGCCAACCGAAGCCCCTGCTGCCGCAGAACCTGTAGCATCGGCAGTTCCTCCTCCCCCTGCAGCATCCATACCCACTCAGATGCCACCGGTGCCCTCGCCCTCGCAACCTCCTGCCAGCAAACCGGGTAAGCCTCCACCCCCACATGTCTTTATGTGGGAGAAGAACAATCTCATCTGATGTCATGTTTCCTCACAGGGCCAAAGTCTGAGACTAATCATGGCTCTGAACAGGCTCTGTTGGCCACTTTGTAGGAAGAACTGTAGACTTTGTATCAAAACACCTGGGTCTGCATGCCAGCTTTCTGTTTACAGCTGTGTGACTTTTGACTACTTAACTATCCTGAGCAGATTGTTCATTTATGAAGTGGGAATGGTACCAGTATACCTCAGAATATCTTGTCGATTAAATGACAGTACAGTAGGAAAGCACTGGCACATACTCAGCAAATGTTTCTCATTTTCTGATGCAGCTGTACCCCTCTCTTTGTTTTCAGTGTCTGCAGTAAAACCCACTGCTGCTCGTCCAGCAGCTGAGCCAGGAGCTGGTCAAGGTCTGCGTTCAGAACATCGGGTAAGCTTCTGAGGACCCCATGCAGGAAGGGCAGGGGCGTGCTGAGATCAGCGGAGCATGGGAATGGCAATGCCCACCTTGAATGGCTGGTTGCTTATTCTCTTGACCTTGACAGGGAAACTGAGTTTGGAAAGTGACTGGTTCATAGTCACGAACTGTCAAATGATAGGACTAGGACCTGAGTGAACACTTGTCCAGTGGTTTTTCCTAGTATGTTGTGCTACCACTGAATTGTCTTGGGTGAGTAAATTATTTGTAGGGATAGTAGCTTAGTATCGTGGGAGGGGCGGGTGCGCTAACACACTTCAGAGCGGCGGTGAAGTGAGCTCTATTCCTGTACTTCCGGGATACCTGGCTGAGGGCCACACAGTAGCAGTAGCTATCAGGGGCAGACATGAAACCTCAAGGAAGTATGGTCAAGAGTGTGGGTTCCTCTCCCCGAGATTACCTCCTAAAAATACTATAGCCTCAAAAGTGTATTGCCTGTGAGTTTCCATTCCACAAGTAGCTATTCTCATGCAAGCCTTTAACACTAGAAATTGCCCTTTCTATGATGATCCCTGGGCTGACTAGCCCTACACCACACTCTTCCTTTTCATAAATTGGTTTTGCTTTTTAAATCAAACCATTTCCTGGCCTCCATTCTTGGTCAGACTTGACGCACGCCTAAGCGAGTAGTTTTTGTCTACGTTTCCTTGCTCTGGCTCAGAGGAGCAAGGCCACAGGAAAGAGGAAGCCTGGGGCCCTCATTGTACTTAGATATTAATAGTCCTCACCTCCCACTCCTTGCAAATGGTTACTCCCTTGGACTCAATGGGGAGTGCTTGATCCAAAGAGACCCAGATTGTCAATACTGTCCCATTTTCACTTTCAGGAGAAAATGAACAGGATGCGGCAACGCATTGCTCAGCGCCTGAAGGAGGCCCAGAATACATGTGCGATGCTGACGACTTTCAATGAGATTGATATGAGGTGAGAGCTCTGCTCATCTTACTTCCATACCCCTTTCTGGGAGAACACTTGAACTTGCCCTATCCCCACCTCCTGCTGATTCCAGAACTGCCTTAACAGGGGAGAGGTACTTCCTGATGACTAGTGGAGTTGCCAAGTAGAGATAAGGCATCCAGGCCAACGAGGCCTATGCCGAGGCCTACCCATTGGTATGGAGAACTACTTGACAGTGCCCAGAGCAGGGCACCCACCTGCTGCTTTCTCATGGTGACTGCTCCTTGTGCGTATTCCTAAGTGACTCAGAATTGTGTGTGTGAAAAGGCACAGGCTTGTATTATCTTTCATCTTTCTCAGCTTTGACTGTGAAATGGAAAACAAGTTGTGTGTTTAAGGGAAAACTCCGAATATTAACTAAAGGGACTAAATCAGTCCCTTGAGTCCTCGAATAAAGTTGTTTCAACATAGTTGCGTCATGTTAATTGAGATGCCTCAGGAACTTAACTCTTGTTTATATTAATTAGCCTGTGGTAAAATTGATTTCTTTATACATTTTGCTTAAAGTCACAGAACCTAGCAATGTTAACGCCAAACGATGTTAAGTGAGGACTTACTGTATACCCATTTCTGTAGTAAGCTAATTGTTGACTCACCTATTTTCTTAAAGATTTTGGTGTTTACAAGTACCAGCACTGTAGGGAGGAGAAGTAGTTAAATTTAACATTTTTTGAGCACTTACTGTGTATACGATATGATATGTATTTAAGAAGGATACAAAGGTGAGTGAAAAGAGCCCCTGTCCTTCTAGAGCTTACTGTTTAGTGTGGATAAACACAAAGTAAAATCTAGAAAAGTATCAGAAGGGTGCAGAGAGTGTGAAGTGGAAAAGAGAATGACATCATTTGTTTTTGAGGTCGGGGCAGAGGTAGGGAGGGTAGGTCAGAAAGGCTTCATAGGAAAGAGAACAACTAGCATTTTTGACACAAGTAACGTGGAGAAAGGTCGATCCAAACAATGGTAGAACACCTTGTTGACAGGTCATGAGTATGCACGTGTTTCTGTGTCCTAATGTTGCTGACCAGTCACGAGATAACTCGTGTCTGCACTTGTTAATTCAAGTAATTTTAAACACCTTACTGACCAGTCACAACAGAAAAGTAGCCAGCCACACGGGCGAGTTCTGGCTCGAAATAGCTGGTCAGCAAGTTAACAATGTCAACTTAACACAGACAGGAAAATACAAGACACATTTGAGAAACATACTGTGAGGAACCTGTGCAGGAAGGAATGAGGTAACAGGTAGGAGCTGATGTTCATCTAGTGGTAAGTCATCAAGTCTTCAGGCCATTTTTGTTTCTTCTGGTCCTAAGTATTTAGTCTGCTTATCTGCTTTTCATTAGAGAAATTTGTTTTTCTTTGGAAGGGATCTGAAAAGCATAGAGGAGGGAATGGTTTTGGACTATGTGCTGTGGCATTGTTCACAGAGGAGGGCTCTGTGGCCTATTTCACTAGATGTCATTCATTCTGTTGTGAAACTTCCTAAAAAGATTGGATGTTATTCAAGCCAGAGATTTCTCTCCTGTCCATAGAATGTAGGGAAGAACCTTGACTAATGAACCACAAGGTCTGCAGCTTAGGTTTCAATGCATTAGGGCCAAATTGTGCACAAATTGAATTGGACTTTGAAATTCTACCCAGTTTCTTAAGACAAAACATGTAAATATTTGTGGCCTTGAAAGATTCAGTTGGCTCAACAGCTTTGATTGGAAGGTAGGAGTAATAGTTGGATCTCCTTTTAGCAGCTAATCGAGGTGTCACTTAACGATGGCCTGGGGTCTCGCTGCAGTCAGTAATTTGGTTTAGATCGAGTGCCCTTTGGGTCTTGTGCTGATCAGCTAACCCATAAAGGGCCTTTCTGAGAAACCTTCTCGTCTCCCTGTTGTCCCAGCCTCTGCCTCCAAGGACAGAGCTTTGAAATAGAAACTACTTAATGACCAGACAATAGCATTGGGGCAGGTTTGAGAGCAGAGATGTTGATCACTTCTCTGTCCCTCTTCTGCAGCTCTTGTGTCTTGGGAACCAGTAATGTCTTTAGGGTGGTAATCCTAGCACTAAATAAGGTTAGACTCAGGAAAACAAACATTTAAACTCAATCAATCCCCCTAGGAAAACTTCCTTTTTAAAAAAACAAGAGGTCTGAAAGGGGGTGTTAAAGTTCTATCATCTTATCTTTCATGTTGATGTCGAATTAGACCATTATAGGGAGAAAGGGAGAACTGAGCACTTGCGCCTGAGATACAGTTAAATTCAATTTCCATCACAGAACTGTATTCCGATAAATACTGAGGTTTCTTCAGCAAAATGATAGGAAAGCCATTTCCCACTGACTGTGGTAGGTATGTGGTGTGTATGTAGAAACAACTCGTGAAGGAACAAAGGCTGCTCTTGTTGCAGAGACTTCTCAGAAGGACTGCTGCTCGTACTTGAAAAGCTTAGCTTCACACACAGCCACTTTTCTAAATACCAAGGAAACCACACCCATTAAACTGATTTTAAGGGCAAGAGCTGTGTCTTTATTATCTTTGTATCTTGGTGCCCAGCATTGACCCTCACCTGTAGCGGGGCACCTGTTTGAAGGAGCAAGCGGATGGAGCTGCTAACTCTGGGGAGATGAAGAATGAATCTATTGACTTTCCCATCAGCCTAAAAGAGCACTGGGTTATACCCTTCTGTGTACGCCTGCTTTTGCTCGCATGGAGCCCATATGCCTGTGCAGTTTTAGGGGGTGTTTTTTCCCCCACTAATTAGGAGATAGGCTTGTCACAAGGAAGTCATAATCAGGTTTGGTGGTTTTTTTGAAAATAATTTTAATAAGAAAAATAATATTGCTTAATCTGTGGACTTTATGCTGAAAAAAAATTTTTTTTTTCTTTTTCCCTCAGGGTAGATAGCTCACGATTTTAGTGTAGCTAGAAACGTTCTCATCCGGGCGGGGATGTTGGTGTGCTCTGGGGTCTCTTTTTCACATTATCTGTCACTGAAATCTGTGGCTTCTGGAATATCAGGGAGCCTGTATAGGGCTCAGCCCACCTTAAAGATAGATTGGACTTGATTCCTTTGTGTCCAGGTTTTTGGTAAAGGAGTGAGGAAGGTTACTGTGCTGGCCTCTAGTGGACTATTTCAAACCTTGAACTTGACGGTGCAGTGAGGGGAATCTTACCCAGTGGTGTATGCAGAGTTAGAAGCCAGCATGAAAGTCAGAATCAAGGCTTCGTTTATAGTCAGTTTGTTTTGTAATGTGTTTTTGCAGTAACATCCAAGAGATGAGGGCCCGGCACAAAGATGCTTTTCTGAAGAAACATAACCTCAAACTGGGCTTTATGTCGGCGTTTGTGAAGGCCTCAGCCTTTGCTTTGCAGGAACAACCTGTTGTAAATGCAGGTGAGTTTGTGGTGGCCAGTGTCACAGAGATCCTGGTGGGTATGTGTATAACACAGACCTGCTCCCACACACAGACACAAAGATGGGGGTCAGCAGACCAAGACTTTTAATTTCATACCTGTGAAAACACAAGTGTCTTTGCCAGGGATTTCTTGATTCACCTTTCTGAAATAGTATCATTACTTTGTCCCCACTAAATGGGCAGAATGATTTTTCTGCCCAGCGCGTAGCTTGGAAGTTCTCAGCTCAGCATTCTAGGCTTCTCATGTCAGGGTGGAAGCTCATGTTCTGACACTCACCTTCCCAAAATGCTCTGTTATCTTGGGGCCTGACTTCCACACTTGGCATAGGCTCCAGGGTGACCTTTGATTTCTGATTGATGGGCCTCATTGGGAGATTTAGTGCTCATTTTCCTTCCGTTTTATTCACCTACGTCATTGAAATGTTGACCTAACGAGCAGTTCTCTTTCCTGTGGAAACACTTCTCTGTTTGAGAGACTTTCTGTTCCCTGCAAGATTGGAGAGGGGACATTGACACTTTTGCAACCTCCCTCAGCAGTGCCAGGGTCCCTAACGATCTAGAAATAGAGGCCTGAGTCCCTTCCATCAAGTGATATGCCTTACGTAGGTAGAAAGCTGTCTGTTTGGCCCATGTATGTACCTTGTCGTTTCTTCTATTCTTTCATGCTTCCTGGTTGGCACTCTAGCCTTTCTGCCTGCCAGTACACCTAGGCATTTCTGAGTTCTTGTGGCTGCTTTGTCACTTTACATGCTTTCCCTGGGTATCTTTTTTTTTTTTTTTAAATATATTTTTATTGATTTCAGAGAGTACAAGGGAAAGGGAGAGAGAGATAGAAACATCAATGATGAGAGAGTCATTAATCAGCTGCCTCCTGCATGCCCCCTACTGGGGATCGAGCTTCAACCCCGGGCATGTGCCCTGACTGGGAATCAAACCGAGATCTTCTGGGTCATAGACCGATGCTCAACCGCTGAGCCACACCAGTCGGGCTTTCCCTGGGTGTCTTGATCTAACAATACAACACATACTTTCTATGGAAAAGATTCCCAAACTTGTATTTTTTCATGAGCACTAGACCTAAATTTTCAGCTGCTATTTGCTATCTCAAGGTGTACTATTAAAGCCACACTACCCTGCTTCCTCCTGAGCCTCCTAGAAAGAGCCTTCCTTTTTTGAGAAGAACCTGCTGACCTTTTGTTGAGAGTGGACAGCAGATGGGCAGTGCTTCCCCATGCCCCTTTGCTAACTTGCTTTTTTTGGGAGAACTCTTTTTTTTATTATTTTTAAGAAAATGTTTCTATTGATTTTAGAGGAAGGGAGAGAGAGAGAGAATCGAACTGTGATTTCCTGGTGCATGGGTCCATGCCCAACCGCTGAGCCATGTTGGCAGAGCTGGGAGCACTTTTTTTTATATATATATATGTGTAAGAGAACATATATTTTGTTAATCACAGAGGTGGAAGAAATAATTCCCAGAAGAAATGGGCTTAGGAAACAAGTTAGGTTAAGGAAGGGCATTTGGAGCTTGGGACTGAGGAAGCTAATGGTAACATGCTGGGGGTGGGGGGGAAGAGGAAGGAAAAGGGAAAGCATGGGCGTTCTCCTGGGAGGGAGAGTACCAGGTCCTTCACCCTAATGGTTTTATCTTAGGGAGGTCCCAGGGAAAGATCTTATAATATTCAGTAGCTTTCTAGGTGTGGCCTTTCAGGTGTGGTCTCCACTGATGGATTGCTTGTGGCCAGGTGGGGGGTGGGGAGGGGGAACAGACGGACAGGCAGCATCATTCAGTGCAGCTGGCCCTGAGGTCGGCTGTGGCTGGTTTTGCTGCTCTTCTGGGCCTGGAGCTGGAATACAGCTGAGGCCTAGATGTTGCCTCTAGGGAGGAAAGGGCAGGGGTGTAAACCGCATGACCAGCCATCTACTAGAAGAGGAAAGGCCACCCTGGAGGTCCCACCCTATAATTGTCCTTTGTCTTGCATCCAGGGCTTTCCATCCTGGTGACCTTCTGTACCTGGTCCATTGTCCTTGCTCTGCTCATGTCTGCCTAACTGCCTATCAAATTCCCCCTCAAGGATCTTGGTTCTGAATTCTTTCAGAGAAAAGGGGTGCAGGGTTGCTTCTATAACAACTTCCAGCTGAAAGGGGATGACGTTTTTGTTCAGAGCCATGGGAGCACTTTTTAAACCTAGCCATTCTCAGCTAAGGGAGGGCTTGTTCACCAAAACTTAATGCATACCTCTCGTATGTGAGCCAGTGTATTGAGCCCTTCTGAGGGCTGCCAAAGAAACGGGTGCTCCTGTGCTCAGGGTCTCAGGATATTATTTGGGAGATGTTACAATTGGTTAGCATGGAAGTGAGAGGAGTTTGTCATGTGTAATGTGCTTTTCATGCTGGTTGGTCAGCCCACACTTTACCAAGCACTAGATTTTTACCCTATTAATGCAAATATTACCTCATCAGCCTAGGCCTCGGGAGTTGTGTGTAATATGTGTTTTCTGTCTTGTAGTGATTGATGATGCAACCAAAGAGGTGGTATATAGGGATTACATTGACATCAGCGTTGCGGTGGCCACCCCACGGGTATGTTGGGGCGGGAGGTGGGGGCTCTGGTCTTAGATTCTCACCTTGTGTGAAGGAGACAGCTGGGCACAGATCATGCCTGTGATCCGTCGCTTTCGCAAAAGAGTGACCTGTTTTTGACCATACCACATTTTTAATGTCAAGCCTAAATATTTTAAACTCTATTAATCACATTGAGTCATTAAGATATTCTGGGAATGGGAGACCATTGACTTGAATCAAGGGAGTTATAACTGTGAAGGTTTCTATTACTTTGCAACTGAAAACAGCTTTTCACTTTCATCAGGGTCTGGTGGTTCCCGTCATCAGGAACGTGGAAACTATGAATTATGCAGATATTGAGCGAACCATCAGTGAACTGGGCGAGAAGGTAAAGCAGAACTCAGTATGTGTATCAGCTGCTGGGCAGGTCGGGGAAGAGAGCCCAGGGAAGGCAAGGCTTACCAGTGAGCAGTGCTCAGGAAGCAGGAGCCTCACTTTGTTACGTTAGGAGTACATAACCTCTCACCCACAAGAGCGAAATGCAGATATCTGGCAGTTTAGCATGCTCTTGTGACTGAAGGTCTTATCAAATGAGACCTGCCAGAAGAGAGAAGGGCCTAACTAAAGGCATTGTACCTGTCCTTTGGTGAACACTAGTCACAGGCATCTCAGCTGAACAACTTTCATGTTGAAACTTGCAATGTGATCTCAGATATGAGCCTTCTGTACTTCCTTTAGGTGAAGGAACCTCTCACATGACCTTACATTTCAATTATGAAATCTGTTTTTAGGCCCGAAAGAATGAACTTGCCATTGAAGATATGGATGGTGGTACTTTCACCATTAGCAATGGAGGTGTTTTCGGCTCCCTCTTTGGAACACCTATTATCAACCCCCCTCAGTCTGCCATCCTGGGCATGCACGCCATCTTTGATAGGCCAGTGGCCGTGGGAGGCAAGGTAAGGAACCATCACTGTTAATATCCTAGGCGCAGGTGATACGAGGGAAATCTAACTAATTGCTAATTATAAAAGATTCACTATAATTTCAGGCATAAGTTTCATCCCTTAGTTTCTAATTAATAGCTAAGGCATTGATTCTCAAGTTGTGGTGTGTGGATCAGCATTGTCTGGGAACTTAATAGAAATGTAAATTCTTGGGCCCCCTTTTGGACCTGTTGAAGTAGAACCTAAAGATGATTCTGACACACAGTCAAGTTTGAGGGTGATTGAGCTGGGAAGGCTTGCGCCTTCATCCCGGACAGTCGCCCGCTTCATTCTCTAGATGCTGTAGGGAGTGGGGATACAGTGGGAGACCTGGTCCTTGCTGCAGAACAGTCTACGAGCTTCCAAGTGTAGGATAAGGCCTAGAGGTTCTCTGGGAGTTCAGAGAATGAAGTCATAGGGGGTGGAGCTGACCCTGGAAGACATGTCAGTAGGAAAATGTTCTCTGGGACTGTGTTTTGAACTTTTTTGGTTCACTCACTCCTTTGTGAATCTGAAATCATAGATCTTCTCCCCTGAAAATGCTCACATACTCAACTTTGCATATCCTGGGTTTAGATTTTTTTTAAAAAAAATTATAACCCTAAAGAAGTAACTGTAGCAGCCAGAACTAAAGGGGAAACTTCCTGTAGAAAACAGATGAATAAAGGGCAGAGTGTATTTAAAAAGGCAGTTGTGAGGAGACTCCTGTTTTCTTGGATAAGCTTTATTTCGGAGTTGGGGGAAAAGTGGGGCTTTACCCTAAGAATAAGGCTTGGTCTTCGAAAATACTGTATCTAGAAGCAACACCAATGGGAAAGGAACTGGGAACTTTCCTATGGGCTGTGCTTTTCTCATCTCCCCACTTCAGTGGGGCTTTTTCTGCTCTACTGCAGACAAATCTGTAAACCTTTCTCTCTCTAGGTGGAGGTACGGCCCATGATGTTCGTGGCACTGACCTATGATCACCGGCTAATCGACGGCAGAGAGGCGGTGACTTTCCTCCGCAAAATCAAGGCAGCGGTAGAGGATCCCAGAATCCTCCTACTGGACCTTTAGGAGGAAGTCACACCCCAACCCATTGACCATGCAGGAACTGAAAACCAGTCTTCTCCCTGCCCCCACGTGGGTCCCAGATTAGCCTGGTGACAGACAGGCACATGCTGTTGGCCTCAAGCAAGGAAGCCAGGGCACTATGTAACCAGCAGTCACAGGTCTTGGTGTTCCTACCAGGCTCTCCCCCTCTCTGCTCCCTCTCTCAACACTCAAATATCTTATTTCCTTAGGCTTGAGGGAGACAGGGAGAGAGAGAGCCTTAATGGATGCTCATTACTATTCCTGCCTTTCTTCCATTAGCCCTCTGCCAAGATAATGTTGCTTCTCCCCTGTGCCAGTATGCTATAGGGAAACCACTGGGGACCATGTGATTAAGTTTCAATCTTTCAAAAGTGTATTCTCCAGAGCTGCCTGGGAGGGTGCTGTGCCTCCCCAGCTCAGAGCAGCCTCTGCCATGCTGTGCACATTCTCACTTGATTCCACCTGTGTGGAGGTATTGACCACAGGCCAAGAGGTGCTGCTTTGCTTCTTAAATGCACCTTCATTCTCAGCTGTCATTGACTTCAAGATGCCTCTTCTACCTCTTCCAGGAAGCACAGGCCAGGGGATCTGGGTAGGAGGGGTGTTGGCAGTGTTGAGGGGAGAGGGCAGATTCCCGTTGAGGTCATAAGTTGTAAACAAGGGAACAGAACCCAGGCCTGCCCTCCGTCTCCCTGTCATAACCTCACACCAGGAAGACCCATTTTGGCACCATCACACACAACTGCAGTTGTGCCAGCCTTTCCAGGTTGTTAGGAACATTCTAGCACATCGTTTCTCATCTAGAGCCGATTCTAGCACATCGTGGCCGTGGAGGGTGGACTGGAGCCTGGTAGAGACGGGGTGAGGGGGCTTCCTGTGGACTGGCTCAGATTGACCTGAGCTTTTAAATTCCATTGGTATAAGCACGTGGACTGAAGAGGCAGTTCTGTTCGTTCCTGTTTCGTGGCCCTTGGGAAGGGGGGCTGTAGCTCTTCCTCTTCAGAGCACAGGCCTCGAATGGACTGTGGTGGAAACGAGCCCCAAGGTGCTAGGACTCGGGGGGATGAGCCCTGTTGCCTCTGAGGTACTGCCGGTGGGTCGGCACATCCAATGGAATTCCTTGGAACGTGGTTAAAGGCACACATCTTGTCCTGAAAGCTACCAGGCCTCATTGCTTTGAATTCCACTGCATTCAGGCCTGAGGCTGCTGACACTTGACACCGGGAGCCATTTAAGTGCCCGTTAGTATCTTCCATCTTGAGCGAAGAAGCGAGGCCTGGGGATGGGGGGGAAGGGATGGGAGCCAATACTGAGTGCCTGCAGCATCTGCTATGTCTTCACTATTCAGAACTCGTAACTGAAATATTTAAAGAAACTGATTTTAAATGCAAATTAAAGGGCAAATGTTCTCAAACAGGGTTCCTGCTGCTTCTGTGTTCCTTTCAGTTACTCTGGTTGTATAAGTCTCCAGCACTGATGGTTGTTTGTATTGAAAGCCACATAATGTCCCTTCGGTTACCCTGTGATACGCCAAACTTTTGAAGTTAACACTGCACTGATTTGACAGAAAATGGAACTCTGGCTGTCTGCCAGCCAGGAAAGTGCCCAGGCCTCTCCAGTGCACCCCTTGAGCCTGGCAAGCCGTGCTCTGGAGGAGAGACTGGTCCCCACTTTTGTGAAGCCCCTGCAAACAGCGACACATTATTTCTGGGATGGATTGGGGAGGGGACTTTTAAAAAATTTCACATTTTGGACTTGATTGCCATGTGTACCAAGATGCTCAAGGTCAGTAAGAACCAATGAGGATAGGTTACCTCCTGGGAGTAGTGGTGTGTGAGGGAGAGTGGACAGTTGGGAGCTAACCTAGACTGACTTCAGGTTACAGGCATGATGGCTTCCAGGCCTAAATACAGCCTGGTCTTTCCACATAGTCCGTACCTGCTGATCTTGCTTACAGAGAACGATGCCATCTCTGTATGAAGGTCTGTCACAGAAGCAAGTGGCTCCCAGAAGGCAGAATTAGTAGAAAAAAAAATTGGATTTAATGAAAGGAATTTTAGAATTTTCTGTTAGATCCAGGACATGGTGCCAGAAGCTTTCATTTCTCTAGTAAACTTACAAGGGAGGTATCCCTATTTTATCAAAAGGAGGTAGACTAAGCCCCCTAAGGGCTAGTGGCTACAGCATGCAAAACTCAGAGCAGAGCACCATGCCATATGTACAGTGCTTATTGCATAGATGAGGCCCAGAAGCAACTCAGACTTGATGCAGCAGTGGTTGGAGGTGGTCTGGCCTGGCTTAGGGAGCGTAGCAAAAGGAACTCAGACTTGTGAACAGGCTCCACTTGACTCCAACCAGGTCTTGTCTTTAACCTCTGAATAGGAGTCTGTCTCAAGGGGTCATTGAGGTTTAAACTACCCCCCTAGGCATCACGACCCTTTTCCAAGACTTGTTTTCTTTTTATTTCTCTCAAATCGGTACATGCCAGCACGTCCCCTTGGGCTCAGAGCTGCTCTGCAGGGCACCAGCTGGCACATGGGTCCACCATCAGCCCTGCTTCCTACTTCCTGGTGGACTCCAAGCTCACTGTTGACTCTCATGGAGCTTCTCTGGAGAAGCCTTCCAATCGCCCCCTCCTGACGGGGTGGCGCTCATTGCATTAAGGAGGCCAGAACACCACAGGCAACATCAGGCTTTATTGGGGGTACGGGTTATGGGCAAGCCCCAGAAAAACCAGGACCATACCAGGCTGTGCTGCCCCTTGTCCTCTCTGCCCAGAGTCACTCCATCCTCAGCACAGTCCCTACCCTCGAGTTAGAGCTGGACCTTCATGGTCAGACTGGAGATTAGTGTCAGAGGCGCCACCTGGTGGTGATGCAGACACACTGGCGGCAAGGAGTTAGGGGCAGAGGTCTGGTGGAAGTTTTAGTTGCCACACCCCAGTGACAGGATGAGTCCTGAGAAGAAAAAGACTACCCCCAAACCTGAGGAGGGGATTGCATTTGGGGGTAACCACTTACCCCAGCTCTTCAGACACCAGAAACATCTTGCTTCTGGCTAAAAGCTTGTGCAATCATTGTGTGTGGTGATGCATTTCAAAAGGGGATGAAGTCACAGTAGGCAATGAATTGAGTGGACCCTCAAGACTAAAATGCAAAATGGTAAACAGGATGAATGCCCGAGAGGGGAATCCTAATGGGTTCAACTTGTCTTAGCAGCTTCAGCCTGGAGGCTGAATTGTGGTCTCTCAAGTCCATGGGGCAGGCTCCCCTTTCTCTACCCCATGGACTAGCTGGGGAGGGGAGCTCTTTATTCTGTTTCCAAAATTGCTCTAATTGGCAAAGGTGTGCATTCCACCCTCTCCCCTCCTCTTTATCCTAATCCTCCCTCCCTCC